GCCAAGGGCAAAGGGGCTGAGTGCAGGCCACAACCGCGACGCGCTGACTGCAGGGGCAGCCACAGCACGCAGCACGCAGCACACCCCATGCAGCAGATGGGCGGGGTGGGTGGTGGTTGATAAGTGACAATGCAGCTCAGCATGCAGGCCATTGTGTGCAGCCCAGGACAGTCAGTGTGGTCATTGCCACGGCTGGCAACGATGTCACTAGGGCAGTGGCCAGCAACACTCCTGCCTGAGAGGGGAATTGGGGGGTGGGGGAGGCAGACTTTCCCTATCCGTCTGTTTAGACTGTGAATTTTTTCTAAATATATGAATTATCTTTAAAAAGGAGGCCCTGCCTCACATCCCCAGGCAGGGAGGCCACATGCTGCATACTTCCAGTCCGGCTGCCTGGGACAGATCTTGCCTAAGAAGTGTGAAAGCCAGTTCTCTTGTTTTACAGTTGGGGAAACTAAGTATCTTTAAAAAGGAGGCCCTGCCTCACATCCCCAGGCAGGGAGGCCACATGCTGCATACTTCTAGTCCGGCTGCCTGGGACAGATCTTGCCTAAGAAGTGTGAAAGCCAGTTCTCTTGTTTTACAGTTGGGGAAACTAAGACTGGGGGCATGGCCAGGATGTCCCCTGGGCTATTGCAATGGACTAAAGTGCAGGGCCGATTGCCAGGCCCAACTCCAAGTGCTCTTCAGGGACGTTTTCAAGGAGGCCCTTCTTTTATTAACTGGCTGGGGGGGTTGGGGACATTGTACTGTAATTTCCAGAGATGTTCACTGGGCCAGCACCAACCCAGGAGTGACACTGCCAAATTCCCAAGCTGTGCCAACACCGCCCCATCCCAGTGCAGACAGAGCCACGTAGGAGTCCCTGTGTCCCATACCGTCTGCACGGCGTGGCTGAAGATGAGCTTCTCCGCGGTGATGCTGTGGATACGATCCAGGAGCCGCTGCTTGTCCACAAAGAAGCGCTGCAGCCTCAGGCTCAGGCCCTGGCAGGACACCACACTGGCCTTGTATAGCTCATTCAGCTTTCGCACCACTGTGGGGCAGGGTATGTGTGGCTGCAATCAGCTCCGGCCCTCCCTCGGCAGGGGACAAGCAGAGCCGACAGGTAAAGGAGGGAGACTGTGCAGCCACGGGGACTCAGGGTGGGAGAATGCCACAGCCAACAGAGAGCTGGTGGCTCAGGATCTGTTCTGGCAGCCCAGCATGGAGAGCATTTGTGATGGGGTGTGACTGTGTGTGTTGGGGGGAAGCATGCACACGTCCATGGCTCTCCGTGTGTGGCCAGCCTTAGCATGTCCTGTGGTGTCCTCTAACCCCATCTCCTCTGTCCTCTGCATGCTGGCTGTACCCCAGGGCCTGTGCACCCACCCTTCCCAGCTGCTCTCCATCCAGCCTGGGCCTGCTCAGGGCCTTGTTGTCACCCTCTCCCCAGTTAGCATGTCCTGCCTCCTCTCCCACAGCCACCATCTCACCTTGTTTCACAGTGGACGACAGGCAGAGCTTGCCAGCCCGGATCTGGTTGATGGCAGTCTGCAAGCCTGAGGACAGCAGCTCAGCCACCTTCAGGTACAGCACCAGCTGCTCTGCAAAGCTGGAGGGTGGCCAGTGGGTCAGAGATGAGTGAGGCCTGGTCCCCCAGGCTGCTCCCCCAACCTGTCCCCAGCTGGCACCCACCCCCACTCGCGGCTCAGCAGGCTGATCTGGTCAGCCACCACGCTCTCCTGCAGCTGGTGCTCGGTGCCACTGGCTGTCTCGCTGGCACTGCCCTTCAGGGCCGCAATCTCCAGGACGTGCTGGACGAACATGAGTGTGAAGCGCAGGCTATGCAGGATCTCCGTGTGCTCTTGCTGGGGAGAAGCAGAGGTCAGCGTGGCATGTGCCCATGGTGGGAAGAGGCCTGTCTCAATGGAGGCTCCTTGGTGGAGGCCCCAGAAAGAGGGACTGTGGGGGGGAGTCTGCTGAGGGGACTGGGTGGGCCATGACCTGCCACAGCTACCCACATCCCCTCCCCTGCTGCAGCCCCATCACCTTGGGACATGCGGCACCCACAGCAGCAGCAGCATGAGGCACACAGGTTCCAAGTAGGAGAACGGAAAGGCCTCCTCAAGCCCACCTCTCCCAGCCTCACCTCCATGAGGGTCTCCTCAGGGAGGTCAGGGGCCTCGAAGGTCACAGCTCCCTCCAGGTTGGCAGCAATTGGGTCGGCAAAACTGCAGCAGTGGCCTGGGGCAGGTAGCTCAGTGGCGGTGGCCTCACTGCAGGCCCCGGGCAGCAGGTGGCGGGCAGAGGAGGAGCTGGTGGAGCCAAGGGAGCTGGAGGAGCCCACTGCAGAGAGATGGCTAGTGAGGGTACCAGGCGTGCTCCTCTCCCGCTCTACAGAACAAAGACCCCATTCCCACCCCCTCCTGACTCTTCACCCCTTCGACCCAGATGTGCCTCACTGAATATCTTACTACATCCGGAAGCCACCCCAGGAGAGACACTGCAGGCCAGAAGAGTAGGGGACGCGAAGCCCACCACCCTCACTGCAGAGGTGTCAGGACCCCCTCCAGTGGCAGCTGCTGGCCATGGCCAGACCCTCCCACCCCTGTCCCTTCCCAAGCAGAACCCACAGGGATCCAGCCAGTCCCTGGGTACTCATCCCTGCTTGACCTGTGTTTTGAGGACTGGCAGCATGGTCCCTTATGCTCACTGACTGATTCATATGGGTGCCCTGTACAGGGGGCACCATGACTGAGTCCATCTTATAGGTGAGGAGACTGAGTATGGATTTCCAAGGAGTGTATATGCCACTTCCTCGGCCAGTCCCTGGGTCCCAGGGGGGCTGCGGTCCAATGACCCTGAGTTAAAGGACCCCCCCACCCCCAAGGCACTGCCACAGCCCCCAGAAGGGACAAAATGCCAGCTCCGAATGGGCCTTACCTGAGAACATCCTGGTGCGGGGGCCCTGGGGCGGCGTGGTCCCGCTGGGGGGAGAGCCCACAGTGAACACCACTGGGGATGGGCTGCTAGCCCCCCCAGCACGGGCTCCTGGGTGCAGGTTCCCTCCAAAGCCTGCAGAGGGCGCTAGGAGAGCAAAGAGGGGCTCAGGGCCTGACCTGCCAGCCGATGCCCCCCAAACCCCCTACTTGGGAGCCCCTCCCACACCTATCTCCATGGGCTTCTCCTGCAGGCTGTCTGTGCTGCCTGAGTCCTGGGTCTGCGTCCCAAATGCAGCCTTAAGGAGCAGGTCGGTGAGGCGGCTGGTGCTGAAGGACCTGTGGGACGGGCACAAGTGGGCAGGCAAGGTGGAAGGGGCTGGGCCCCACCTCATAACCGGCCCTCACTCACCCCTTGAGGTGGATGCTGCTGTCCCCCACCTCACAGATGGACAAAGGCTCAGGGAGGGGAGAGCCCACATGGGGCCGCAGAGCAAGCCAGGTGAAACCCAGGCTCTCTACTGCCCTGCAGGCAAGGCACCCCCAGAAGCCCCCAGGAGCTCACAGCAAGAAAAGGCCAGGGGTGGGGTAGGGGAGCCCCATCGGAAGCCCCACAGCCACAGCCTTGCCTCCCCCACTCACCTGCCAAAGGGGCCCCTAGAGTCCTCAGCAGGCCGCAGGCCAGGGCCCAGTTGATGTCCTTGCAAGGGCCCCACCTCTGAGAGGTCGGGTAGTGTCCGGTTCCGAGGGGGCGTCACCATTACGCCCTGCCGGGCCAGGAGGGTCAGCAGATTCTGGGAGCTTGGGGTCTTGGGGAAGTCAAAGGAGGGCATGGCCTAGGAGGGGTAGGGAAGGTGCTGAGAACCCCCACCCTACCTGGCAGCCCCCCTCCACAACACAGGACAGCATGGCAGGAAGGTGTGGCCATGACTTCAGGGCTGATCTGGCTCTTCACAGAAAAGTGTGGCCCGAGCTGAGCCCAGGCAAGAGAATGGGGAGAAGGGACCTCAGTGTGAAGTTGCCCTCCTTGTCCTTCCCCAGGACCAGCTGCTCCCACCCCACCTCCTCCCCCAGCTCTGTTCTCCCTGAAAGCTAGGCTGTGGGGGCCCTGTTACCTTAGTGGGGGAGCCCAGGATGGGGGGCAGGGGGTTCCTCTGCAGGAAGTCAGGCAGCTTGGGCGAGCCACGCAGGGGCCGGCAGGACTGTAGTCCATGGGACGGCTGGGGAGGGCTGGCCTGTGGGGGCCCGAATGCGGCTCCCAATGGGTCCGTGGGGGGTTTGGACAGCTTGGGGCAGACGACGTGCAGGTCAGACAGGTTGGGGGCGCTGTGCAGGCGGCAGCCCAGCCCGGTGGTGCGGGTAGAGTGCTCGGGCAGGGAGGAGCCTAGCGGCAGGGCATGGGCCTCGTCAGTGCCCAGCCCAGCCAGGTAATGAACAAAAAAACTGCAGATGCCACTCCCACCACAACCGTGCATGGAGGCCTTAGGGCAGCAGACGCATCTCAGATCCCTCACTCTCTTCATCATCTCACCCTCATGGCCACCCTAGGAGGTGATGCCCTATTCTCCATCTTGTGCCTGAGCACAGAGGGGCTGAGAAACCTGCCCAAGGTCACACAGCCAGAGTGGATGAGGCCATTGGCCTCTATACCTCAAGCCTTGTGCTTCTTAAAACTGTTTCACCTGCTACAAGAATAGGACCGTGGCCCCATGTGAGGGAGGGTGGTGGCTCCTCTGTCCTCCACCTGCCTGGGCTGTACCTACCTGGACGAGGGGACCTGCCACCCCGCATCTCGGCTCCTTGTGGGGAGGGTGCCCTGCTCCAGCCTGGCCGCTCCGGGATGGTTCCGACTTGGGAAAAAGAAGCATCCACCAGAGAGAGTCAAGGTGGGACAGAAACAGCAGTGTCTCCTCGCCCTGCCCCACCCCCACCCTGGGAGATGCCCATTCCCAGGCAGGAGGCTGCACCCACCAGTCCCATCCCAGAGACTCACCTTGTGGAGAAGGAGTGTAAGGCCGGCCCCCACCCAGGGACAACTTCCTGGCCAAGGCAGCTCCATGCTCAGCATGGGATGGGGGTGATGGGCTGGCCCGTGCAAACCCCAGGGGGCTGGTACTGCCTGACCTGCGGATGGCAGACGACCTGTGGACATTGCAGGGTGCGTGGTGAGGCCCTTAACCCCAGGGCCCTTAATCCTGATACTCCCCTAGCAATGCCAGGTGGCTCCTCTCGCTGCACTCTGTCCAAACAGAAGCCCTCACTAGTGAGTATGTGGGAGGGGTCAGGCTCAGCCTTCTTGCCCAGAGTTACAACTGGGAGCTGGAGGGCCCCAGTGTTTTCCCCCGGCACCCTCACCCTGGGGTCACAATCCCCGTAAGGACAACCACTAGCCCATGCAGCCTTCCGTGAATTACAAAATTTATCCTTCCCTCCAATGTTTACTTCCGTCTGCTGAAATTTGCCAAAATCAACATTGGTTTGTAAATTCAAGACACTTTACTGACATCTACCGGAAAACTGTCAAAATAACTAGAATCCCATGACATCCACAAAGAGAATGGTGGTGCCAAGTTATGCAGTGCGCAGCCTGCACAGCTGTGCATGCACAATGGCCCTGCCCCTCTCTAAGGGGACAATGGCAGGGCTCTCACCGCATGCTCCTGTGATATGCCTGGGCACTACAGGGCCCCTGTACTCACGGAGCTGTCTGATACTGGGTGGGCGACTGCAAATTTTGCTCAATGCGCTGATAGTTCTGCACCTGAGTGGGTACTGGAATGGGGACAGAGGCGCCGTACCTGCTGCTGGAGAAGGCACCAGCCCGGCTGTGGTGGGGAGAAAGAGGTCAGGGTCACTAGAGACAGGGGTGCTGGGATGGAGCCCAAGCCCAGACATCCTTGGGCAGAGGCCCCCCTGGGCCACCTGCCAGACTTGCAAAGATCAGGCTTTCACCCCCCCGTACACTCCAGCACTGCAGCCAAGCAGCTCCTCCATCCCTGCAGGCTCAGGGTAGTGGTGGTGCTGTGCAGTTGCTGGCCCTGGAGTCTTGCAGGGCCCTTGGCTGACAAGCCCACCCCTGGGCAATGCCCTTCCCACAACAGTCCCTTCCACTGGACGGTCCAAGTGGAGCGTGGTATCCCGCCAAGCCTGAACAAAGGTAGTGGTGTCATGGCCCCACTGCCAGGGCTCCTGCTCACCCTGAGGGGCTAGGGGAGCTGCTGCAGGGGGGTGATGGAGATGGGGTCTGACCATGGCTCTCCAGGCCAGCGGAAGCCACCAACGAGCTCCTGGTGGGGCAGAAGGGACAAGACAGGGTGGCACCCTCAGACCAAAGTGGTACACAGACCCCAGGCCCTCCCTAACATCCCCAGCCCGCAACGGATACTACAGTCTTGGTCCTTGCTGATCGCCTGATCCCAGGCAGGGTGTGAACTGGGTGGAGATAACACTGTCCACTTCGAAGACCACCCTTTATCTCTCCTGAAACAGAGGGCTCAGGGTTGGGGACTCACCCGCTGCACATCAGGCTATCTGGCAGGGGCTTGGCACAGGCCGCCTCAGCCACCAGGTCACCTGCGGGTGAGAGACAGCAAAACTAGGTCTGGGTGTCCTCTCTTCCCTCCAGGCCCATCTCAGCGCACTGTGACTCCCTGACAGCTCCCCACCAGGATGGCGGGCTGCCCTTCTCCAGTGTCCTGACACCGTGGGTCTCCTGTCCCCCAGCCTCGGGCCAACTCCAGGGCAAGCAGGTGAGGAGGGTGAGGCCAGGGAGCTGAAGTCCTCAGGAGTACCCAGGTTCCCACCCCCGGGAGGGTCTGTCCTGTCACTGGTCCATCTTCCTGTAGCCCTGCTGGCTGGCAAGGGGTCAGGCCCCTCCCTGGGAGTATCTGAGGCTTGGCTCGGCCCTCGCCATCTCGCAGATCTGAGATGCCTGGAGGTGCTGAGGGGCTCCCACAAGCCACTGTATTTCCAGGATGCCAGGGCCAGGGCCCACCTAGCACTGGTGCTGGAGACTCAGGTGGCCAGGGACAGAGTCAGGAAGTGACAGGGTACAGGTCTGTGAGAGGAGCCATGCACCCCTGGCCTGCCCCAAGAGGTCCAAGCACCTTCACTCAGCAAGCACCACATGGGTAGCCAGAGCCACTCTGCAGAGGCTTCCAAGAAGCAAATACACAAGTCCGTGTGCGGTGTGGTTAAGAGCCACAGAGAGACATGGCCAAGTATGGGGGCTCCTGCCAGGGCGGGTGCAGAAGGGCCTGGAGGAGCCAGGGGCACCTGGGTATGGGGCCTCAGGCCACAGACCGCCTGCTGACCACGAGGAGTGGTTTTAGCAGAAACGACCTCACTGGCCAAGTGGTGCTGTTGCCACAAGTGACCAGAGACCCTTCTGACTGGCTAGGGTGCAGACAGGTCCAGACCGTGCACAACTAGGGACCATCTGCCATGTCCACTGTACTCCCCCCTCCCACAAACACCTTGGGGGCCGTGACTCAGTCAGTGAGCCCCCTGACCTGGAAACTGGGCCGGGACCATGACAAAGTCGTCTGTGTCGCAGGATGAGTCCTTGCTGCTGCCACCTGAGTCCCGGGAGCCATGCAGGAAGCCAGCAGTGTGGGCTGGGGAGGTCAGTGTCTTTTGCAGCTGTGGCATCTCCCCCAGGGACTGCAGCCAGAGGGAGGGACTGGTGAGCTGGGGCCGGGGGACCCCCGAGATTCTGGGAAGGCAATCCCAGCTCTTCTGGGACGGCCCAGAGCCTCAGAGTACAGAGCAAAGGGGGCTCAGTGTGTTCTTCTTTCTGTGTGCCACCCTGTAAGGGAACAGCCACCCTAACAGAGCTGCGCCCACTATCCCAGCCAGGTGGGAGCCCTTGGCTGCCACGAGCTCACAGGAGGCCCTGGTTTTGCGAGGTGTTTGCCACCAGCTCCTCTGCACCTGACTTCTCCATGTGTCCACGAAGGAGGTGGCATGGGGGCTGTGTCCAGTAGGGAAGTAGCCGCTGGCCAGCACATACCACACAGCTGATGGAGGCTCACCCTCCAAGCGCCCATCCCCTGGGCCACATTGCATCCTGGATGAGCAGTCATGGCTCCCCTCAGCCTTAGTCCCCTGCCCACCTTATGGAGGAGGCAATTGAGGTCAGAGAACCCATCCCTAGTCACAGGGCCAGGCCAGGAGAACCCAGACACTGACTCATCATTGCCCACCACTAACACCATACTCCTAGGTGTTTGGGGAGACGGAAAGATGGACAAGCAGACTGGGGCAGGGGTGGGTTCAGTGAACACTCTGTAGTCACATGCAGTGCAGGGTACAGTGCCAACAGGGGAGGTCCCAGAACACAGCCCCCACACACAGCCAAGGCAACTATCCCCTCTCTACACCTGTGTTTGTCCTGGGCATAGGTGTGCACAGCAGTGCAGAAAAGGATCTCAAGACCAGACCAAGCAGCCACTGACGGGGGGTGGGGGTGGGGGTGGCTGCTGAAAAGGGTTTTCGCTGTTTCTAAAGCTCAACACTTACAAGCAGAACATGTTCATCTGTGTCTTTCATGACTCACACAGATGACAGAAATCAAGGCAGGTGCCCTGGGTAGGGCCGGGGCCAGCTGACGAGTGGCCATGGCCTGGTCCCAGGGGCAGCGACTTACCGGCGGGGAGGCCAGGTGGGAGGTGGAGCTGCTGCTGGAGCTGCTGCCAGACCCTGAGCTTGGGTATGAGGGTACGGGCACAGGCGGGGCTGGGAGAGGGGCGCAGGTCAGTCTGCAGAACCTCCTCCCTGGCCCCATCCCACCCATGTTGGGGACAGATGCTCATGGCAGAACCAACCCAGGGACTGGACGAGCACTACTGTGCCCCCCCTCATGCTGCCTGCCCCCACTCTGACCAGCAGGATGGGGAGGTTAGGGGAGGACCTCCCAGGCACCCCCATGACTGCAGTCTGTGCAAACACTCGGCAGCACACCCACCCCCCCCAGCTTTAGGGCCCAGGCTGGAGAGGGCTGGGGACCTGAGTAACCCTTCCCTGGTGGGGGATGCAGGTCAAGGCCTCTTCCCTATGCTCCCACTCCCCAGTCCAGCTCGAGGGCCCTAACCAGCCCTGGGGGGGAGGAAGATGTGCAGGCACTGCAGGAGCCCTAGGATTGCAGAAAACTCACACTTCCTGATGGAGGCACTGGCATCCAGGAATGGGTGATGGAAAAACTCATCTGCGGAAGGGAGGTGGAGCTAGGCCTCAGGGGGGACCCTGGGAGGGTGTGGGGGCAACGGGCAGGGGTTTGGGGTGAAAGACTGGCCCTCCCAGCCTCCCCTGGGTGTGGAGATGGAGCCCCAGCTGGCAGCCCCTGCACACACCTGGCCGCCCTGCCTCAGCCCAGGCCAGCACCTCCACCCTCTACACCCCGCAGAGGGTGGTCTTCCCAGAAGTATTTCCCTTGCAAAACTCACTCACTGGTGCTCCCCAGAAGCCAGAAACAGCTGTTACGGGACCCCCAGGAGCCCAGCCTCAGGCCAGCCATCTGAGGGTGGCCCAGGCAGAGGCTGACACCTACACTAGGCTTACAGAGGGGCCAGTGTCCATGTAGGGTGTGGGAGTACAGGGCATGAAGCTAGATGGGCCCCTGCCCCAACAAGCCAATGCTGCATGGGTGGGTGAGTGGGGAGGGGGGCTCTTGGGGGTGCCTGTCCCTCAATGCCTGTCGCATAGCTGGGAGTCCAGCCAGCCACTCACCAAAGTCCATGCGGTCTTTGTGGTTGCGCTGCAGCAGGGCCAGGAGCAGCTGCCTCAGAGGGGCCGAGGTCTCCCGGGGGATGCTGGTGGGACGAAAAGGAGATGGGGCTGACTAGGGGGGCTGGCGGGAGGGAGTCTGCCGAGGGGAGCGCAGGAGGGGTGCTTACGTGGGGATCAGTGTCTTGTTCTTCTCGTAGAACAGTCGGAGGTCCTGGGGGCTGCTGGCCTGGTGGGGCAGCGACAGCATGAGTGCCTGCTCCCGGCTCGGCCCTGCCTCTGGCTGCTGCTCAGGCCAAGCCGGGTGGTCATTGTCTGGTCTCAGAGCCTTCGTCCCCAGCCAGCCTTCAACCAGGACTGCCAGCCCAGAATATGCTTGCACCTCCCTCCCTGCCCCCATCCAGGCTGTGGAACTTCAGGGGTGAGAGTGCCCTGCTTCAGCCCAAGCGGCAGGTAGCCTGGGTGCCGTGGGTTTGGTGCCACTGGCTGTTTGCCTCTTGAAATTAAAGAGTAGCCCACCACCCCAGACCAGAAAGCAGCCGCAGAGTAGGGGCTCGCCCCTCTTTGTGGGCCCTGAGTGGAACTCACACACACATTCCCTCACCGAGCACCTGCTGTGCGCCAGGCGCTGCTCTAGGAAGCAAGGACACAGCAGAAAGCCTCATAAGGCTGACAGGCAGAGGGGGGAGCAGGTACTGGGTGCTGCATCCCTGCCCTGCAGGCTGCATACAGCCCTGGGCCCTCGTGCTCGGGGTCATGACCCCATTAGTGGGACACAGCCAGCATGCGGCAGGCAGCAGGCAGAGGCGTGTGCACAAATGCACACCAGTCTTGCTGGTGGGCTGAAGCATCAGGTCCATCTCACTGGCCCATCCTGGGAGACCAGCCTCAGCCATGAGCAGGATGTGGCAGGGAGTGGGGTCTGCAGGGCTTTAGGTGAGGCCATCTGAGGGAGCGCTGCGGCCACCTGCCAGCCCTTCCCCGACACTGACTACCTCCAGGCTGCTGGCTCTCTCACCTGGAAGGGCGCCTTCCCTGTCAGGCACTGGTAAACGATGGTGCCAATGCTCCACAGATCTGCCTTCCCGTCGTAATGCTGGGACATGATGACTTCGGGGGCCTGTGGAGTCAGAAACGTAGATCAGTGCTACAGTGCAGAATGGGCCCAGAGCACACTGGCTGGTAACAGATGCCAGCCAGGTGCCTGCAAATCAGAGCAGACACAGCAGGAGCCCCAAGCACACACGCACCATGTACATGGGAGAGCCGCAGAGTGTGGCCGCCATCATGTTGCTCTGGAGGTACCGGGCGAACCCAAAGTCAGCTGCAGGAGAGGTGCATCAGGACAGCTGTAGCCTGGGGTCACCCGCAGCCCGGGGTTACACCCCCCTCAACGGGCCTCACCGATCTTGACGCGAATGTTATTGGGATTGGCACGTCGTCCGCCGGGGTTGGACAGCAGAATGTTCTGGGGCTTCAGGTCGCGGTGGATGATGCCCTTGCTGTGCAGCAGCCGCATGGCACCAGCGATCTGCTGCAGGAAGAGCCTGATGGTGTCCTCGCTTAGTGTCCGCATGGCTGCCAGGAGACAGCACTCAGGGGGGCACCCAGGGCAGCGCCAGCCACCCGCCGGCTGCTCCTCCCTCTGCAGGGGCCCCCTGCCCAGCAGGTAACAGGCAGACCATCCCCACAAACTGGGAATCGGACGCCACTCTCCTGCTTAAAACACACAAGGGCTTCAACCCCAACAGGGGCCAATTCCAAACTCCCCCACGGCCCTTCCCGGTCTCAGCCCTGCCATTCACCTTGGGCCATCCATCCTCTGCTGACTCTGTCTGGAACCTTCTTCTCCACACCCAACTGCCAGCTCTTGATGTTCTCTAAACAGCCTGCTCCTCTTCCTCAGATTATAATGACCTAGTTATGCTTCCTAATATCTTCCTCTCCCCCTAAGGCAAGTACCAGCTATAGCCAACAGTTCTAGGATGGAACCCCAGGGTCCCAGCCTACTGTGGCTGTCCATGAGAGAACAACTGGGCACGTAGCCCTGAGCAAGGCCCCTGGGCCCATCTGTACCCAGGGTTAGATAGGGTCACAGAGGCCCCACCCTCTGCCAGCAATGAGCTTGGGGCCAGCGGCAGAGCTGCTGTGTTCAGGGCAGCTCAAGTGGCCCCAGCTGGTCCACCAGGCCGTTTAGGGCAAGGTGTGGAGGATCTAGCTAAGCAGAGGCACCCACCCCTTAGAGGGGAGCAGGAACAAACAGTGGCTCTCTCCTGAGGCTCCCAAGCAGGGAAACCAGAGGCAACCAGAAAGGGAATCCCCACACATCCACACACAGCACAGACACACTCATCCACACAGCACAGAGAGAGATACACACACAGCACAGAAACACATCGGAGACACACCCCCCAAGAGAGACCATGTATTTACCTCATACTAAAATCTAGATCTCAGATCCCAAAACCCCTCTGTGCACAAAGTCAGGCTCACCTCAGCCTGATACCTCAAAGAAAGTTGGGCAGAGCCACGCTGCCATTCCTCCATCTTTCTAAAGCCTCTCCTCAGACACAGGGAGGCCCAAATGGACTCCCAGATGCACGCAGGGATGTGTGAGCACCCCGTGACACCCTTACCTTCAGCCCCAAGACTCCCCAACTCTCCAGACGAGCACCCTTGGTCTCCCTGCACCTCCCGCCCTCCCTCCCTTGAGGGCAGGTGGCACCTGAGGCTGGCCTGGGACCGACCTGACACCTGTGGAGCCTGAAATGCAGCCAGTTACCACCCAGCCACTGAAGGTCATGGACCCAGCACACAGCGTGGCAGCCACACAGAACAGGAACAGACACCAGGCACATCCTGGCCACGTGGACAGCCAGGCTGAGGTGGCCAGCCCAGAGCGCCCGGGGCCAGGGGCCTGAAGGCCAGCAGCCCTGGGCTTTGGCCAGCCACCATCACTCAGAGGGCCCCGTACAACACAGGCCATGTCGTGAGGGACCCTGACAGCTCAGCCACAGCAAGCCTGTGTCCCCAACCTGGGGAGGCATCCAAGGCCCCCAGCACAGAGTACGCACACACTGAGGAAAGCGCCCCTCGGAACAGAGAGAGCTGCCCCACATAGCCCACCCACTCCCAGCTGCGTGTCCTCCCCGCTCCCTGCCACAGAAGGCTGCCCTCCACATCCTAGAGCAGGAGCCCGGGGCTGCCTTGGGGCCTCTGCCTCCAATGAACCTCAACACAGTCCACAGATCCAGCAACAGAGCACCTGATGGCCGGACCCTGTGGCCTTGAGTCCCCCCAAATCCACAGGTTGAAATCCTCACTCCCACAGTGATGGTATTAGGGTGGAGCCCTCATGAATGGGATCAGCACTCTTATAAAATTGGCTCCAGAGAGACCCTGGCCCCTTCCACCACATAAGGACACATAGAAGGTGCCATCTGTGAGGAACAGACAGGCCCTTACCAGACCCCGAATCTGCTGGTGTCTGGATCCTGGACTTCCAGCCTCCAGACTGTGAGAAATACATTTCTGCTGTTTATCCACTACCCAGTCAAAGGTATTTTGTTACGGCAGCACCAATGGACTATGACAGACCACAACGCCATCCTTCTGGATACACAGGATGAGTCCCTGGAATCATCGTGACCAGCTCTCTCCCACCTCCAACTCAGCAGGATACCCTGCACCAAAGACCGCCTGAAAGCACCACTCACCCCCACCCCTACTAGGGCCTACAGCTCAGACAGTTATTGAGAACCCCCAGCACAAGGGTCCTGCCAACACCTGCCCCTCGAGCCCTCGTGCTGCCCCTGCAGCCACTCAGCTCAACTCTGCTCCAGCCAAAAGCTACCTGCCCAGCCATGACATGAGAGCTGCAGCTCCCCCTCCCTCCCTGCAATCCCCTGCCCACCAGGCGCTCACTCACTTGTCTTGTTCAGGGATGCCTCCCCCCCCACCCCCACCCACCAGAACATTGTCCTGTGAGAGAGCAGAGGCTTCTGTGGTCATGGCTGTCTCTCCACTTGTGACAGAAGCACTCCGTAAACAGCTGCTGAGTGGATGAATGGAGGGACAGTGTCCTTAAGGCCCGAAACAGCTCAGGTCCCCTTTCCATCTACCCTGGGAGGTGTCGGAGGGCACATTAAAGCCAGGCCATCTCTTGTTTGGACTAGGCTGACCTGGGTACGGGGATCCATGGGCCCCGTTCGCAGCCCCGCCCAGTACGGCACGTCCACTCACTGTGCAGGTAGTCAGCCAGGTCCCCACCGTTACAGTACTGCAAAAGACCAGTGACATGCCATCAGGCAGTTGCCAGTAACCCTGGGGCAGAGCCCCCCCCACCATTCCCTGCTGGAAAACATCAGTGGTGGTACCCATCACCCCCTCCAGCCACATCCCTCCCTCTGTGGCTCCCAGCGCGTGGCCTTCAGCCCACAGGTACACAGACACCTGGGACCATGTGGCCTCTGCCTGCCCTGGCCCATCCTCCCAGTCAGCCCTGCAGAGCACTCACCTCCATGACCAGGTAGACAGAATTGGCCATTTCCTGCAAACAAAGAAGGGACCGTGAGAGGCGGGAGGATGTGCTGCAGGCAGTGTGGATGCAGCTAGGCCGAGTGGGCCCTGCAGTGGGAGTCTGCTGGGTTTGACTGACAGAAGTAGTAGCCAGTGAGGGAGGCCTGCGGGTGGGGCATGGGCTTCAGCCTCCAGGATCTCTCTCGTGTTCATGGGTCTCAGCTTGTCAACCTACAAGCGGTGACTCCTGGCTGAGGGGACCCAGCCAGTGGGAGGGTTCAAGGCCAGTGGGTGGGCTGGCCTGACCTTCAGGCTGAGGAAACTGCCCAGCTCCTGGCTCTGGAATCAATGCCATAGGTTACAGGGTGGCCCTGCCAGGCTGAGTCAGAGGCCCAGAGGCATCCAGCTGCACTACCCAGCTGGCATGCACTCAGGCTGGGTCCCGGTTCCTCCTGGGCCCTCCCCTCAGACACAGACCTGTGCTGGGGGCCAACTGCATTCTCTTGCAGCTGCCCCCATGAAACAGAAAGAGACACTTAAGGCAGCCCACCCTGGTGCCCACGTGAACCCAGACCCCCAAGAGCAGCGTGCACGTGATCTGCACCTGTATACCCACAGTAGGACGAGCCATCCACACCCCACATCATGGACAAGGAAACTGAAGCCCAGAAGCCAAATCACACCAGGTGGAATGGGTCATAACCACCTGCTATCCTGTGTCCAGTTGGGGTGTTTTCCCTAACTGAGGGGAGTGGCTCTGTCAGACAGAAGAGCAAGGTCCCACCCACACCCCATAAATGCTAAGCACACTGCAGGGCCTTGGGAACATGAGGAGGAAGCCCCCTCCCCTCCAAGCTCTCCCCCGTCTGCACTTACGGGAGAGAATCCACATTCTGCTCTAGGCAACCCCAATCTACTACCCCCAAGACTCGAGGGGAGAGGCAAAGAGGATGTGGGCAGGTCTGTGAGCTGCTGAAAAGCCCTCTCAAAGGAGGGAGGGGCTGCCTGTCCTGAGGGAGGGGCTGCAGGAGGAACATTTCTCAGCAGTTGGAGGAGGCACTCACAGCTCACTCCCCTGGCTGCCAGCCACTACCCTCCCCCACCTGTCAGCCACAGGCAGGCCCCTCCCCAGCTGCTGGCCCTCAGGTCCCAACCTGGCAGGGGTCCCAACCCCTGCTCAGCCCCCTGAGGGCCAGACGTGCATCTAGGAACTCCTAGTGGGGAACAGCACAAAGCTGCTGGTGACCAGATGGTGTGAACGCCAGTCCCTATAAAATGTGAGAAGCAGCTCCCCACCCCCACCCCCAGAGCTGGAGCAGCAGTCCAGCAGGTAGGGGAGGGGAGGGTGCTCCCACAAGCCCCCACCCCTGCCATCTGAGACTCCACAGACAGGTTGTGGCCCAGTAGGGGACTGAGAACCTTCAGGCACCACACAGAGAAAGGGGACGTTCACAAAGACAGGCCTTGGGCTGTCCCACCCAGGGCCCATGGGGCCCCGCCTGGGGTCCCTGCCTGGCCTCAGGTGCCCCACCCCAAGTGAGAGAAGCCTCAGCCCCAACTCCCACCCAGCCTTCCAGGCTAGCTGGGCGGCCACCAGCTGCAGGGAGAGATAGCGGCTGGGCAGGTAGGAGTCCCCAGTCAGAGAGGGATAGAGGGGGACGGAGGCTCCAGCAACCCCACAGGACAGGCAATCAAGTGGAAAGAATGTGATGAGGGTAGAGGTGACAGAGATAGGGGCCAGAAATAGCTTCAGATACAGCAACACCCATTCCCTGCCCCAGTGAGCAGGCGCCAGCCCCCAAGCCCCTGCTCTCCTGAGAGCAGAGGGCGAGGACCAGAACCTGGCCTGCAGAGCTGGGACTCAGGCCTGACTTGCACAGGGCCACAACAAGCAGGGACATGGTGATAGGGGACAAGATGACAAGGGTAAGCTGGGGAGACAGACACAGGCATGTGCAGAGTGGGCCCCAGTGTCCTGCCTCCCCCAGGGCAGCCTCCTTCCTCCCCCAGACAGTCAAAGGCTCAGGGGGATCCCTGTGGCTCAAGTGACAACAAAGTCCTCTTCACACCTGAGGACCCAGGGGACCCTGGAAATGAGGCTCTGGCCCCTGCTCCCACCCCTATCTCCTGCCCAGTCTAGCCAGGGCCCTTCCAAGAACCCCCCATGAGTCATCTGGCCTTGCCCACCCCTCCACACAAAACTACCTCTCCAAACCCCCTCCAGCCATCCTGGCTGCTCCCTGGTGCTAGAACCCTCCTTGCTCCCTGACACCCCCAGGCCCCTGGCCTTGCCCCGTAGGGTCCACAGATGTCACCCCTGAGATACCTCTGCCTGCTCCCACACTACCCCCCTGTGCTGCCTGCCCTCACAGTTCCCAAAAACCTTGGTGGGCACTGCCTCCCAGGAGGGGACACAGACCCTTGGTGGGCATGGGGCTGTGGGGATCCCAGCACCCCCAGCCTCCTCTGCCCCCCACATTATACTTTGCTGGGCAGTTCCACCCAGGTTGGTTGTTCAACAGAGACCACGGCCCCACCCCCACCCCAAGCCTGTGCTCAGCTTCTCCCAGAAGGTCCTTCCAGGCACTGGACACAGAGAATCAGCGGGGTGGGGGCATCAACCTCACCACACAGCATTCAGGCCTTGGGAGACCTAGGCAGCGTGGAACAGATGACAGCTTCAGGCAGGCGTCTGTGGGTTAGGCCCTCATCGAACCTTCAGGGCATGAGGCTCTATCAGCCCTGCACTGGCCCAGGCAACAGGTACAGTCACCAGCCCACCAAACAGGGGGGCACACTGAGGTCTCCACAGGTCAGGAGGCATGCCCCGGCCTCAGCCTCCCTTGCCCAGGCCAACGCCAAGCCAGTACCACCTGTGACTGCCCACCTGCCTGGAAGAGTTGGGAGGGGTGGCCTCCAGTTCTGGCAGGGACTAGAAGAAGGTGGGCCAACCCAGGAAGCTGGCAGTGCCCTGGGCACACTGGTGGGGAGCTTTTCCAAGGAAGCCTATGCCCCGCCCAGCCCATCATCCACCTGGGGCCACCCTGCCCTGCCTGCTGGGTCTTCCCATCCCTACCCATGGGAAGTGGCTCTCTTGGGCTATCAGCCCACTCAGAACCCAGATAGGGCATTGGGTCCCCCCTCCACCAGCCCTGGCCTGACTAAATTTGGTTTTTACCAGCTCCCCTGGGGAGTGGGGACTCCATGGGGGCAGACAGGAGCTGCTGGCCACGCGTCACTCTCAGGCGGCAGGTTTTGGGGAGCCCACTACACTACAACACACGCATACAGTCGTGGCAAGCGCAGGCCTGTACACACCCGTATCCTAACAGTGAACAAGCCTGGCACCCTACACTAGTCACTCAACCCCAGGAAGCAGGTCCCACCTCACAGTCTGGGAGGAAATGCGGGAAGCTGGGCTTGGAACCCAGACTTCTGACCATTCCACCGGGCTATCCCCTCCAGATGACTGACTCCAACCCTGCGCACCTGAGGCTCCTGACCACAAAACAAAACCTGTAAAAGGGGAGAACAAAACCAGTACCCCAGTACCCTTCTCAGCTGTGGCTTTGTACCCAAGGGCCTGGGGGTGGAGCTGGCCCAATTGAGCAGGGCCTGCTGCCCCCCCCATCACGCATGCATGGCTGGCACTGAGGCCAGGTGTCCCCGGGTTGCCTGGAACGGGCATCCAGGCACGTAGGAGCCACCGGCCCCTGGGGCGCTAAGGTGCTTTGCTTAATAGGATCCCAGCTCCCACCCTCTGTCAACTCCGCTCCTGTCTGGTGATCAGGGCTGGGCCTGGTGGGCTGGGCCTGGTGGGCGGGCGGCAGGAGCTGACCTAGTTAACTCCTCCAGAGCCGGCCTTCTTGGCTCCACATGGTGGCAAAAGCCACGGCTGTGGCCTGGACAGAGTCGCTCCGCCCCCACAGGCTAGATTCTTCTGCATAGCTCCCAAAAGAGAAGGGATGCCTGGCCCCACCCTGAGAAGGCAGGACCACCCTTTGGCTCTAGGGACCCCCTGCATCTGCTCATGTGTGTTGGCTGCCCTTGCTAGTCCCCTCATTCCCTGGTCTGGGCATCTGCTGCAGGGAGCTGAATCCAGTGCTGACTGGGGGGGTTGGGGGAGCGGGGACTGACCCCAAAAGTGGGGACACTTCCAGTGCAGGACAGCATGAGCTGTTGAGACCCCTCAGGAAGTCACAATCTCTACACATTCCTCCCAAGATCTAACCATCCCTAGTTGGCGCAAACCCCACTGAAACTTGTGGCAGCAGCTCTGTCTATCGGCTGAGCTGAGACACACACCCCCACACTGTCCAGGAATGGGTACATACACCAGGGAACAGTCAGGATACCTCCCAAGATCTAACCATCCCTAGTTGGCGCAAACCCCACTGAAACTTGTGGCAGCAGCTCTATCGGCTGAGCTGAGACACACACCCCCACACTGTCCAGGAATGGGTACATACACCAGGGAACAGTCAGGATACCACACAACACCAAAAAGGCAACCCCTACCATCCACAGAAAACAGAGTGGCCTCTGGTGCAGGGCCGAGTGTCTCGCTCCAGTAAGTCCAATACAGGCGAGACGCAACTTGGGTGTTAGGTGAGGAACAGGAGGAGCGACCACAGCATAGACCAAGGGCCCCCTGGGGAGGGAAGAGCAAAGAGGGAGGGCTAGGCCAGGTTCTTGGGTGCGGCGTGTTCTATGTCACGCAGGTGCCTGCTGCGTCAGGCATTTCATCACCTATGTTTTGCACTTTCCTGTATGTTTATTTGATCTTACAATTTTAAGTTTTAAAAACTAGATAAAGCAAACAGAGACAAACAGAAAACACAACTTTGTAGACAACTTCCAGAACTGCCCAGGCCCGGGGCCCTATTCACAGGTCACTGCTGGAGCCTGGCACCAAGGGCTTCCCGCTGCCTGTACCCGTCCCTACTCAAGCTGCAGGAAAGACCATCCCAGTCTGGCTTGGCAGCCTCCTCCCCCCTCTCTGGGAAGGGGAATCACAGCCAAGTCCCAGGTTCACCTTCCCGGGCTCACAGGCCATCACTCAGGGCATGTGGCTAGTGTGGTTCCTGAAAGGCCCCAATTGTGAGCGTGGGCCTCCCAGCAGGTAACTCACTGGGAGCTGGTCTGTCTGCAGGACCCAGGTGAGTCACTGCTAGGAGGCCTAGCAAGGTGTCCGGCTGCAGGGAACCGGCCAGATGGTGTACTAGCTTCTAGAGGGTCCTCGAAGCAAGGCCTGTGGCCATCATTCCCCCTCCAAGGACGTACTGGGCAAGGACTGGGCCTGGCTCCACAACCCTATACCCTGATTACAATGGTGGCTGCTCTCCCAAGGTGAGAATAAGTCTGGACACAGCATGGGATGAGACTAGCGCTCACCACTCTACCCTCAATAAGAAGGCCAGGTGCTCCAGCTGCCTCCCACAGCTTAGGTAGACTCAGAAAAGAGCATAATGCAAGGAACCTTCCTCCTAAGCACTCAGTAGCCTGATAAATGTTACCATTTTGTACAGTTAAAATCAACCACCACAACAACCCCACACAAACAAAAATAATCTCAGACAAGAAACAACACGGGGGAATATTTGCAAACTACCACAAAAGGGCTACTTTCCTTAATATGTAAAAAGCTCCTACAAGTCAATAACAATATTTATACATCACTTGCTATATGGCAAGCACAGTTCTAAGCACTTATACTTGAGTTGTCATCACAACAATTTTATGGGTAAGAAAACTGAAGCTATAAGAGGTTACCTGCCCAAGGTCACACAGATAAATTAATGGTGGAAGCAGGACTCAAGAGTAAGGCAGTATGGCTCACGGCAAATGTCATTAACTACGGTACCATCCAGTCTCAGTAAGAAAAGGACCAATTGCCTATTAGAAATATGTGTCAGGCTGGCCGGTTAGCACAGTTGGTTGGAGCACAGTGTTATAACACCAAGGTCAAGGGTTTGTACCCTGGTACCAGACAGCCACCAATAAAAAAAAAAAAAAATCCCTATCTCAAGTTTCTCAGTTGGTTAAAGCATGGCCTTGTAACAGCAAGGTCAAGGGTTCAGATCCCCGTACTGGCTGCAAAAAATAAAAAAATAAAAAAAAATAAAATAAATACATGCTGAGGACAGGAGGTATTTCTAACATTCGCATGCATGTCAAGAGATACTGAACCTCCCCCATCATAAATCAAAACAAAACCCTAAGAGATGCCATGTTCCACTTCTCACACAGCCAAGATGAGAAAGCCTGAAGCTGCCCTGTCAGGAGACAAGCTGCTGAGGGACCACTGGTATTGCCTCTCCGGAAGACAATTTAACAACAGGTATCCAAATTAAAACCACACATCCTGGGCCGGCCTGTGGCTCACTCGGTACAGTGCGGTGCTGATAACACCAAGGCCACGGGTTCGGATCCCATATAGGGATGGCCGGTTCGCTCACTGCCTGAGCGTGGTGCTGACACCACCAAGTCAGGTTAGCTCACTGGCTGAGCGTGGTGCTGACACCACCAAGTCAAGGGTTAAGATCCCCTTACTGGTCATCTTTTTAAAAAATAAATAAATAAATAAAAAATAAAACCACACATCCCTCTTAAACAGGGGTGCACTTCCAGGGATCCAGATACACACGGCAAACAAGAGTCCAAGGATAATCGCTCCCACACCACTTGATGTGCGAGAATCCCAGAATAGCCTCATGCCCCGTCAGCAGAGGGGCTGGTGACGTGGATTTTGGAATATCAGGCAGTGAGTACCACACGGCTGTAAATAACCACCACAGCCACAACTGTGATGGCGGCTAACACCTCAGACACCTCCATGTGGTCCATACAACCAGAGAGGGCGTGTGCTTTCTCTCTGTCCTCACATCTCCTTGGTCTCTCCTTCACAGAGGAAAAACCAGGGGCAGAGGGGTCAGGACACTTGCATAAGGAAACAGCTGTGTAGGTGGCAGAGCCAGGACTGGGCTTACAGGTGGTTCCTCCAGAAAGGAATGGACGGGTGTGACCTTTCTGATGTGGATTGAGACAGTTATGTGCAATAACACAGAACCTTCTCCAAGATATACTCTTTTATTTTTTTAAAAAGATGACTGGTAAGGGGATCTTAACCCTTGACTTGGTGGTGTCAGCACCACGCTCAGCCATTGAGCTAACCGGCCATCCCTATATGGGATCCGAACCCATGGCCTTGGTGTTATCAGCACGAGACTCCCGAATGAGCCACGGGCCGGCCCCTCCAAGATATACTCTGAAGTGAAAAAATTGCAGTGCAGAACAGGGGGTGTGCTGTGGTGGGGAAAGACACAGGTCACATCCACTGTGATGAGGCCATCCCCACAGGCCAGGAACCTACGAAGTGCTGGGGAGGGGGGGATTCCAGCTGGACAGGGATGGGAGAGTTACCTTTCAGCGCATGCCCTTCTGTAACGTCTTTTCTTCGCCAAATCACTTTTTACCTACTTTACCTACTTGGGCCGGCCTGTGGCTCACTCGGGAGAGTACGGTGCTGATAACACCAAGGCCACGGGTTCTGATCCCATATAGGGATGGCTGGTTTGCTCACTGGGTGAGCGTGGTGCTGACAACACCAAGTCAAGGGTTTAAGATCCCCTTACCGACCGGTCATCTTTTAAAAAAAAAAAAAATCAAATCATTTTTTCCTGAGCCCTGGTTTCTGTCTCCTAAAAGTCTTAAGGATGCAGGGAAACAATCCCAACACCCCTGAGAGTGGGGAGAGCCCCAGCCGAGAAGCCCCTGTGCTGGAGCCAAGGAGAGGCTGCGGCCAGCATTTCTAAGCACTTCCTCTGAGCAGAGAGGAAGCCACAGCATTGCCAACACCACGGGAAGTGGCAGATGCCCACAACCAGGTGCATGTGGCCCAACTGGGATGGAGCAGGAACTGGAGGATGGCAAGAAGGCTGTAGGCCCTGGGTGTGCAGATGACCGCCTGGATTCCCACTCATGGTCTGCCTGTTCTCAGAGGCCTGCCCTGGAGGTACCCTGGAGGGGAGCACCAGGGGGTATGGCCAGAGGTGGAGGGGTAGCTCACACTGGGTCTGTCCCTGTGCAGGGACAGGCTGTCCACTCTCCTCTGGCCCTCACAAGCATGATGCACGGGCTGGGCCACGGCCCATGTGGCTCTGACCAGAGGCCTCATAATATGTAGAGGAGGGAGAAAGAGGAGGCTGGGGGAAGGGAGGGAAGAACAGAAAGAAAAGGGTGGGAAGAGGACAGAGTGAGGAAAAGGAAAAGGAAAAGGAAAAGGAAAGGAGAAGAACAGAAAGAAAAGGGTGGGAAGAGGACAGAGTGAGGAAAAGGAAAAGGAAAAGGAAAGGAGGGGTGGAGAAGGGGGAGGGGCAGCCCTCCTGGACCCAGAACATCATGTCTCCTGCTGGGTTTCCAGGTACACACTGTCACACACTGGACCCGGGCCCTCCCCACAGTCACCTCGTGACATGCCACAGCTCCAAAGGCCACAGCAAAGCTGACAGCAGAAGAGGGAGGAGGCCACCAAAACACAGACGGCCACACTGGGAACTTCCTCAGTAAACAGGTTTCAAAATCATTAGTCAGCACTTCAGCTGCCTCAGGCTTCTGGTCCCCAAGCTGGGCATCCAGGGTCCCCAAGCTCTGCCTGCTGCTGGGCCCAGGGGCCTGGAGGGCAGCGTGAGAAGCCGGCTGATCTGCCTGCCTGCCTTCTGGGGCCAGCCAGGCCTGAGGCAGCCTCCTGAGCCAGCCGGCGGCTGCCTCCGTGCTTGGCAGGCCCAGCCCCAACCGCCAGCAAGAAGGAATCTCCTGTGGCTGCAGCCCCTCCCCCTCCCGCGAGTCTGACGCAGGGAGAGACTGGCCAATGTCTGGCCAAAGGAGCAATGTCAACAAACAATCGCGGCCCAGACAGGTGGGCCAGACCCACAGGACTGCCTGGGGCCTGCCTGGACACTAGTCCCACGTCAGGGCCACTGAGTCAGACACAGGGATGAGGGAACAGGGGGTCCACCACAGGGCCACGCTGTAGCCAGATGTTTCACTGGTCAGCAAAACTCAGCCCAGGCACCCCCTCCCCAGTCAGACAGCTGGAGAAGACGGGACTCCCCAATAGAACAAGAAGCAGCCCAGGCCCCAGATCTGGGCTAAAGATGGGGTGTCCACGGTCCCCATGAGACCTCAGCCCTGGGCAGGACTGAACATTCCGTCTAGCTCCTTCCACCATCCCCAGAGGCTGACCTAGAACTGTCCTCCACCCACCAGGGGCTCCAGCACTTGGCCAGGCTGGAGCCTGAACGGGTGACATAACCCCCACCCCATCTCCAGCAGACAGCAGCCCAGAGGCCTTACCTGGAAATCATACAAGGCCACGATGTTCTCGTGCTTCAGTTCCTAGGACAGAAACCCAAGTTTCTCAATAGCCAGATGTGGGCTAGCCCACCACTCTCTCCCCCACCTCTCTCCCAATGTGCAGGCTCACCTTGAGGATTTTGATTTCCTTCCCCAGCAGCGTCTGGGACTTGGCAAGGTTCTTCTTGTTAATACATTTAACCGCAACCTCCAGATCATGCTTCTGAAAACCAAAGGTGGACCTTCAGGGCCGGGCGACCCCTGCAAGCCACCCCCCACCTGCTGGGCTCCAGGGGTACGAGAATGGGTTCCTGGGATGGGGAGCTGGGGTGAAATCCCGGTCTGGGCTCTGGGGCTGCGGTTCCTGGCATGGGGAGCCTGGACTGGGGGTTCTGGAGCGGGGAAACCAGGATGGGGATCCGGGGTGGAGAGAGCATGCTGAGGGTGCTAAGGTAGGGAATCCGGTGTGAGGGCCCCGAAGTAGGGAGCCGGGCTGGGGATTCTGGCGTAGGGACTCTGGGATGGGGCTCTGGAGTAGGGAGAGCGGGCTGGGGGTCCTGGGGTGGTATCCCTGGGTTGGGGGTCCCAAGGTGCGGAGACCAGGCCGGAGGTTCTAGGGTGGGGAGCCCGGGCTGGGGGTCCTAGCGGAGCTCCCTGGCCGGGGACCTCACCTCGCGGTGGCGGCCCTTGAAGACCACGGCGAAGGCGCCGTGCCCGATCAGGTCCTTGCGGGAGAACTCGAACTTGTCGACCTGCGCTCCTGGCTTCTCGCGCTGCCGTCTTACCCTATGTGCCTTGTCTTGTCAGTCTGGTGGCGCCTATTTGCCTGGTTCCTACTCTACCAAAGGCTCATTAATACCTGGGACGTGGCATAGTTAGAGAGGAAAGGTTAGATAAATGGTGCATCTGTTCATAATATGCAGCTGAAGGACACAGTGAAATCGTATGTGCTCAATGGTAAAGTTCTCCGAGGTTTATAATTCAGTGAAAGGAAAATGCAGAACAGTATACTGTGCTACTACTGTCTGTAAGAAAGACATTGGAGGTGCGGTGTTATACCACCAAGGTCAAGGGTTCAGATCCCCATGCCAGCCAGCCACCAATAAAAAAGGAAGGAAAGAAAGAAAAGTGGTGGGGGGCAGGGGTGTATATGATACCTATAGGTTTATATAGTAATTCATAAATATAATAACAGCTAACCCATCGCTTACCATAGGCTGGGCAGTGTTCTTTCCAGATGTTAACTTATTCCTTCCAATCATTCTATGAGGAACTCGTTCTTATTTCCCCCTTTTACAGATAAGAAAATTGAGGCCCAGAAAAGTGATGTGCCCAAAGTGATGTGCCCAAAGTCACACCGCTGGCAAGAGAGTCAGTATCCCAACTCACACCAGAAGCTGTCAACCGTGGTTGCTTTGAGAGAGAGAACTGGGGAAGCGAGAGTCAGTTCTTTTCATTGTATACATCATGTACTAGTCTGAATTGTTTTTATCATGTGCAAGTATTGCTTTTGCAAATGTTTAATTCTAAACAATCCTCACCACCCACAGCCTTCAGTAATGGCCCAGGAACATGCAGCTCTGATTGCAGGATCTCTGTCCACAGCCTTCCCTGCTGCCTTACCAGAGCAGCCCAGCCCAGCCACTGGACAGCCCGATGCTCTGGGAGGAACTGCACTTGGCAACTCCTGGAATACCTCCACCTGCATCCAATCTGTCCTCTAGGACCCAGGACACAGGGGCTCCCTACCTGGACTGGAGCCAGAGGCTGCCAAAGCTGGAAGGGATAAGAGGTATCCTGGCCCGCCACTTTTGTTTTCCAACTGAGAGGTCTCCCTGTGCCCCCAGGGTCAGCCACAGCATTCATTCGCATCCTCATTCACTCACTCGTTTATTCAGTGAGTGAGTGCTGGGGTTGCCACAGTGGGAAAAAGAGAGCCCCTACCTTCAGGAGCTTCCAGTTCAGTGGTTAGAAGTGGAGGGACTAGAAGGACAAAAATTGCACAAGAAGTGGTGAAATTGCAACTGAGGACAGTGTGGAGAACAGGTGGGTAAAAATCAAGGAGAATAGGGCAGACAATGAGGGCCAGAGCCTGGTGCTTGCAGAGGCCACTAGCAAGAGCCTGGCCCAGCCCCACCTGGCCTGGAGGCCCAGCTAAGGAGAAAAAGGACAGGAAAAGCTTAGGAGCGGGCAGGATGGCAAGACGGGATTTGCATTAGGAAAGAGTTACTAGGCCCACTGAGGGAGGAATGTGTCTCTAAAAGGAAACACATATAATGACGTACAATTTTTACCTGTCAATTACAACAAATAATAAATTACAAAAAGAAACACACAAAAAACAAGGTTGATTGATGGGAACATGACTAGAGGGTTGCAGGAACCTAACCATGTATTTCCCCTAAGATCAATGGTTCAACATCTGTTAATTCAGTGCTCACAGGGGAACATGACTAGAGGGTTGCAGGAACCTAACCATGTATTTCCCCTAAGATCAATGGTTCAGCATCTGTTAATTCAGTGCTCACAGCAACTTTTTTTTTTTTTTAAAAGATGACTAGTAAGGGGATCTTAACCCTTGACTTGGTGTTGTCAGCACCACGCTCACCCAAGCGAGCTAACTGGCCATCCCTATATAGGGATCCACACCACTGGCTTTGGTGTTGTCAGCACCACACTCTCCCAAGTGAGCCACGGGCCGGCCCTCATGGCAACTTTATAGAATTTTTTTTTTTGGAGGCTGGCCAGTACAGTGATTTGAACCTTCAACCTTGGTATTACAAGTCCACACTTTAAGCCAACTGAGAAACTTGAGCCATGGAATTGTGTTTTTTTTGGCAGCTGGCCAGAACTGGGATCTGAACCCTTGACCTTGGTGTTACCAACACCACACTCTAACCAAGCAAGCTAACTAAGCAGCCCTATAGAACATTAACTACCACAAATAATGAGAATTGACTGTACTTCCTATGTGCCAAGCAATAGTCTTATAGGAAGTAACTCTTATGCCCACGTCAACCCTAGCAGGTAGGTTTCTATCCTTACTCCCATTTAAGGGGAAAAGAAACTGAGGGCCAGAGAAGTTGAATGACTTGCCCAAGATTACACAGCTGAGACGTGGCAGCTCTAGAATTTAAACCAGGCAGTCTGTGGAACTGTGACCGTTCTCTCCTCAGGTCTCCAGACCTCCCAAGGCAAGGACTGAATCTTGCTCATCTCTGGAGGTCCACCACTCAGCCTGAGGCCTTCAGTAAAGAAACTTGTTGAAAGGGAGTAGGGTGGGGCCGGCCCGGTGGCGCACTGCTACAGTGCACCGCTTGGGAGCGTGGTGGCGCTCCCGCCGAGGGTTCGGATCCCACATACAGACCGTTCCCGCTCAAGCGTGGTGGCGCTCCCGCCGAGGGTTCGGATCCCACATACAGACCGGTTCCCGCTCACTGAGCGAGGGTTGCGATCCCGTTGCCGGACACGAAAAAAGACAGAAAAAAAAAAAAAGAAAGGGAGTAGGGTGAAGAGAAGAAGTCTCCCCTGTCACTCACTCAACACTCAAAACACACCACCTTCCACAGAGGCACTGCCCACACACCCACTCAGACAGGGCTCAGTGCTGCTGCTACCTTCTGCCAAAGGAATGGCAAATGGGTGTCATTTCAAAGGGATCCCCAGAGCCTTAAGGGGAGAACTCTGGGAGCTCTGTGACCTATTAGTGATATCTGTCATGGGTGCCCTGGTATCACCATGACTTCAGTAGTGTAACCTTCAAAATGTTAAAAACAACTCTCATACAAATTTAGAAAGAACTGGGCTGGCGTATATATATATATATATATATATATATATACACAGGTTTTTTTTTTTTTCGTTTTTTGGTGGCCGGCTGGTACAGGGATTGAACCCTGGACCTTGGTGTTATCAGCACTACTCTCTAACCAACTGAGCTAACTGGCCAAGCTAATCCCCTTTATTTATATTTTTTAAATTTTTATTTATTTATTTATTTATTGGCGGCTGGCCATTATTAAACACTAACTCCCCATTACCCCTCCCCAGCCCCTGGCACCCACCATTCCACTTTTTGTCTCTAGGATTTTGACTTCTCCAGAGGCCTTGTATAAGTGTAATCAAACAGTGTTTGTCCTTTTGTGTCTGGCTTATTTTACTTAGCGTCATGTCTCCAAGGTTCACCCATGCTGTAGCATGTGTCAGAATTTCCTTCCTTTTTAAGCTGAATAGTATTCCATGGTATGGCTGGACCACATGTTCTTTATCCGTTCATCTGTGGGTAGACACTTGCGTTGCTTCCACCTTTGGGCTGTTGTGAATAATGCTGCTGTGAACATGGGTGTACAAATAATTGTTTGAGTCTCTGCTGTTCAGTTCTTTTGAGTATGAACCCAGTACTGGAATTGCTGTATGCAGATTTGATAATTCTGTTTAATTTTTTTGAGGACCTTTTATTCTGTTTTCCATAGCAGCTGCACCGTTTTACATTCCTGCCAGCAGTATCCAAGGGTTCCAGTTTCTCCATATCCCGGCCACCACTTGTGATTTTCTGGAGTGGTGTCTCACTGTAGTTTTGATTTGCATTTCTCTAATGCCTAGTGATGTTGCCCGTCTTTTCATGTGCTTATTGGCTATTTGCACATCTTCAGTGGAGAAATATCTATTCAAGTGCTTGGCCCATTTTTTAATTGGGTTGTCTGTTTTCTTGTTGTTGAGTTGTAGGAGTTCATTATATGTTCTATGTATTAACTGTCTTGTAAATAAAGTTTTATTAAAAACCAGCCATATTCATTTGCTTACTTACTGTCTGTGGCTGCTTCTGTGCTATACCTGCAGAGTTGAGTAGTTGCAACAGAGGCTGTATGGACTGCAAAGGCCAAAAATATTTACTATCTGTCCCTTTACAGGAAACCTTTGTCAACCCTTGTCCTAGATTAAGTGATATGTGGGTGGGCCTATTAAGTGATACTCCCATATGACAGTGAAGTGCATGCTGCCTCCTTGTTTACAAGTTTTGGGTCATTTTCCCAAACAGCAGTCAGAGATACAACCCAAAACCCTGGGAGTCATGCTCAATTCCTCAGATTCCTCCTCCTTACCCCAATCCACATTGACGCAGAGGTGGATCTGCTTTCGAATGCATTCACTGCTGATTGGAACATGGGCCCTGGTCCCTATCCCCATCATGGGCTGGGTTGAGTCCTAGGGGCAGGTCAGCAGAGAGCAGAGTGGTTGCACCTGCCTGAGTCTCTTCCAGCAAGGCTCTGTGTGTCTCAGTAATCCCATCTGGAAAATGGGAGCAATAATAACAAGATGTCTCAGAGGATTAAGTAAACAATGTGGGAGGTTCTTTTTTTTTTTTTTTTTTAAGATGACCGGTAAGGGGATCTTAACCCTTGACTT